GGGGCGGGTGGCGCCCCCCGCCTGTGGTCTGCCCTGGTTTTGGCTGGGATAGAGGTATTTTTCTTCCACTGATAGAGTGCTGTGATTTGGCTTTAGTCTGAGAAGAATGCTGATAACACAGTGATGTTTTAGTTCTTGCTCAGTTGTACTCCAAGTCAAGGACTTTTCAGTCTTTTAGTTATTGCTCAGTGATTATTTTAAGTCAAGGACTTTTCAGACTTTCAGTTATTGCTAAATTACTCTCAGTCAGGGACTTCTCAATCTCTCACGCTTTGCCAGTGAGGAAGAGCACAAAAAGCCATAAGGGAGGACAGCCAGGACAAGCTGACCCAAACTAGCCAAATGGGTGTTCCATACCACAGCATGGCATGCTCAGGGTGTAAACTGGGGGGAGTTAGCTGGAAGGGATTGATCACTGCTGGGTGACCAGGCTGGGCAGCAATTGTATTGTGCATGCCTGCAGTTGGCTGGTTGGTTGTATTCCTCTCTATTCCCTTTTTTTTTTTTTTTTGTTACTGATATTTTATTTCATTTCAATTATTAAACTGTTCTTAAATCAACCCACGTGTTTTACCTCTTTTTTCACCCATGATTCTAATAGTGCTTAGTTGGTGGCTGGATAGTACTTAGTTGGTGGCTGGGCTTGAACCATGACAAGGTCCTAGAGAGGTCCCTGTGCACCCCTACACCTTGGGCCCCACCGAAAGGGTGATGGCAAAGCAAGCCAAGTATTCCCTGGAGAGCTGCCTGTGCAGGGGCTGCTGCTTGGCTCCTCTGAGCCCAGCCTTTGGGGAGAGGCAGGGCAGGGCTGGGCCACTGCAAGTCCCAGCACGGAATTAGATTTAGGCTTAATGAGAAAGTACTGAGGGAAAGAAGAAAGCCAGTTCCTGTATCCCCAGTTTGCTCCAGCTGGACTCTCAGTGAAACAAGGAGTGCTGCTGGAAGCTGCTGAGAAACTGCAGCCCAGAGGCCCAGGGGTGCCTGAGGCAGCGCCAAGGCAAGGCTGGAGGTCAGAGAACAAGAATGCTATGCAGGAACAGTGCCAAAACCCAAGCTCCAGCTCAGCCTCGGCAGATTTGTAGGACTAAGGTGAGAGGAAGAGAGGGAAAAGACCTCCTCCTCGTGCTAGCATTTTAGTTCAACACATACCTGTTAGGATAGCTTGGAAAAGGAGAGCTTGTGGTTCAGCTTCAGCCACTCAAGGCACTGTAGGCATTTAATGGATTTAAATTACTTCTTACTGATGATCTTTTGTTATATTTTTTCAAAAGTAGTACCTAGACAGTAAGAAGATATTTTATTTTTAAATGCTTTTAAAAAACATTTTATTGTCCACTGTGTGTAACCACTGCATATAAAGGAAGCATTCAGAACATTAAAACATATATATACACATAAATATTTTAGTTGTGACATTTGAAGATTGATAATACTTTCTCTTATGTTACTGGTAAATACCCCTGATTTTTGGAAATGAAAATACTTTTATGAGGGATTACTATGCTACTGCTGTTCTAAGAAGTAAAAAGATAAAATATTTATTATGGTATTAATAATCTAAATAATTACATAAAGTGCACATCTCTGTATATATTATATTCTAGTAAGTGAAGGGGATTGGCTTAGTCCTGAATATGCAAGTATCAGTCGATGTTCATGTTTCCGTGAAAACAGATCTCTCTAAAAAGCAAACACTAAACAGAATAAGCAGGATTTTAATTTCAAGGTTCTGCAAACTCTAAAGTTCAAGAAAAATGCATTGAGCTGAATATCATTTTGAATGCCTTTTCACAACTACAGAGCAAAGGCATTTGAATAACATGCTTGTATTATCAGTAGCTAAAATTCCAATTGGCACTATATAATCTCATACTTATTCTGAGGGTTTTCCCAGGTCAAAGCTCTTCCTACTTCTCCACCTGAGCAATTTGATAAAGTTAAGACTTGCACTGAAGATCTTGTCATGATGAAAAACCATTTTGTAGAATGTATCAATGGGTAGATCTCCATTTGGATCTGCATATTTCAGAGTTGTCATTGGAGTGTACAAGGTGTTGGTCTGATGGCGAAAAGGTGGATTTTCTGCAAGAATTACCTTTACTGTATGCTGTCAAGAATAAGAAATAGAATTGTTAAGCTTTACCAAAAAAATGAAATAAAAGCCTAGTTTTCAGTTAAGCAGAGAAAAAGTGGAGGAATAAAGTGCTAAAATTATGTAAAATTCCATATGTAGTTTTATTAGAATTTCAATAGAATTTTTTCTTAAAATATTTTATATTAAATATGCTCCATCCCTGGCAGTGTTCAAGGCCAGGCTGGATAGGGCCTTGGGCAACATGGTTTAAGGTGAGGCGTCCCTGACCGTGGCAGGGGGTTGGAACTCGATGATCTCAATATCCTTTCTAACCCTAACTATTCCCTGATTTTCAAGGCCATGAGTACTTATTTATTTTTACTCCTGTTTCTGTTCGGGTATACCATGTTGATAGCATTTTACACCTAAGTATCCTGAATAGTCCTCCAAAATTACGCTTATATGCCCGCAATAGGTAGATCCTTTTTTCACAGTTCACTAGGAAAGGATTGGAAGCGTGCACTTTGCAGCAAGGTCTGGGAACCTTCAGTTGACACTGAAGTTATTCCTTAGCAGCAAGCACCTGAAATCATTGTCCCCTTCCACAGCTTTGCTTATATTTGTCTTCCTGCAGGAAGCCCCAGGCACCAGAAACCACATCCATGTATCTTCTATTGTGCTTTGGTGGTCTGAGTTGGCTGAGTGAATTTCACGTTAGGGATTACTAGTGAGACAGTGAGAAGAGCAGCTTTAACCACCAGTGGGAACCCCGTGTAGATGTATGGTAACACTGTAGAATGTTCAGATTTCACCAGCTTATGTGTAAGTTTTCACCAGCTGATGTGTAAGTTTTCACCAGCTGATGTGTAAGTGCATTAACACCTCAGTGGTATTTATACTACCATTCACAGTCGTCTTCAATACTTCAAAATGAACATTCTTTTACCATTCTAAAGGGATTTGTTTAAAACTCTCCAGAATCTCTTGCCTATGTAAAAAATAATTTCAAACTGTGTAAATTACATTGAATTAAATCTAATGCTTCTACCAAAAAATGAAAACCAACCCACCAGTCAACCAGTGCATTTGTAAATGACAAAGAAAACAACAACAACAACGAAAATCAGGAAAAAAAGAAGATGGAGAGTTGCTGAAGAGTTACCTCTGCGACCTCTTCAGCACTTTGTCCCAGGCTCTGAAAAATTTGTTTGTAATTTTTAAGGTAAATATTAGTAAACATATCGGCTGTTTCTTGATCTGCAGCTGAAAGATCCATTTTCATTCCATCTTCAAACACTTTTCTTTCAAACTCTGTAACTACGGGGCCTGGTTCAATTAAACTTAACCTGTTCAAAAAGCAAGGATATAGTGGTTATCAACTACCCTCTGTGGGAAACACACCCCTCTATCCTTCTCAGAAAGGAATATTGAGGAGTTGTGCTGTGAGTACATGTTTGCAAGCAATATTAAACAGGACATTCTGTAAAGGGAACCATGCCACATCATTGCTCTCATGCTCCTACCCATCCACGTGCAGCTTTCCCACAGCAATTCTAGAAGTAGCTCAAAGAGATGGAGGATTTCTTTGTCAAGCCATCAGTGCAAGATCCTTCCACAATATCGTAATAAAATACAATACAGAGAATTTTGCTGAGGGTGGACAGATTTTGCCTGCTGCCAAATCTGGAAAATCTTACTTGGCTCGGTAGCATATTACAGCAAATCACCAACATACAGTGACTGGTCAGTTCTTTCCTGGTTCTTCTCTCAGGCAGCAATTACTCCCAGCCACTCTTTACCAAAACAGTCTTTGGGACAGGACCTCTTCCTAGACTTTGAGTTCTGATCAGGCTCTTCTTTAGAACTAAATCAAGGTATTGACCTTGACAGGAGAATTCCAGCTGCAGCTGGAATTAAAGCCTTTCCTCTTGCGTCACTCTTCATACCAGACTTTGAACTTTTTCCATTCTACTTTCTTTTTTTAACCTCCTTTTTGCTGTTACCTTATACTCTTGAAATCTGACTATGAATATTGGTATATCCTGTGTATCATTACAATATAGTTATTTGAAATCCCTCCAAACTTCTCAGAGCAGTATGCTGCTCAGTTTGGATGGCGCTTTGTCTCGGAAATCCCATGACAGCAGGTGTGTCTTCTCCCAGAACACAAAGGCTAAATGCTTGGCTGCAATGGATATTTAACAACTGCTGGACATCTTACAAAGAATAGTAGCAGATTTACATGAATGTGAACAAACATGTGACAAATCAAACCCCAAAGTTCCGAAGACAATAAGCAGGACCATTCTCTTAAACATAAAGTAGTACACCACATTCTGCTCACTTTCCTCTCATCTCCTGTCATTATAGGTATCTCATCCTGTGTTTCCTTCTGATTGATTTCTACTTGTTCACTCTTTATGATGAGTCCCTGACCTTTTTATCTGTGAATTGCCTAAGAAGTCTATTATCCTTTCTAAAGGAAAATATTACAGGTTGGTATTATAATTTTATTCCTGTGATACTGTACTCAAGAATCTTTTTAGAAGTGTTACATAAACTATCTTATCCAAAGCTAAACAGCTTTTAACTGTCCTAGAGAATGTTTATGTTAGCATCTAGACCTCTTTATAGGCATATGTAGTGTGAATAACATGGACATTTCTATTCCTTTGATGATGTACAATTTCCAAGGGTTCCTCAGTCTGTTTCTCCTGGATAGCAGCAAGCTTTAAAAATGTGTTTGTTAGCTCTGAATATATTTACAACTGTCTAAAATATACATACACACCAGCAGATCAATACTTACTGCAGTTTGAACTTGAGCGCTTGTATAGCTAAACTTTCACAGAATCCTTCCACAGCAAACTTAGATGCAGCATAAACATCATTAAATAAGATACCTGATGGTGCAAACAAAACATCCTGAGAATGTGACTGTATTCAACACATTAATAGTTTAAAAAAACTTGTCTATTTTCCAAAAATATGTAGTCTTGCAGGGAAAACATTAGAAAAAATCCTTGCTTAAACTGAATCTAAATATTGATTTTTTGCCTATGTATGTTCTCTAAACTGTTTATTCTAAGAAAGAATGCTTGAACAATACTTTTCTTCCTCCTAACTGATGATCTCTTGGGGTGATATTAAATATTTTGTAGTCTCAGATACAGAAGTGTCTGCACATACACCACCATCTACATTATTTATTAGCAAGACTTTAATAGGCTACAGATAAACACAGAAGCTGAGCACAATGCAGGAGATGAGATTATGCAAGAGATCCAGCTTGCATGTAAGTGATTTAGCAAAACTACTACATCAACCCATTTAATGGATGGTAAGTATTGTATTAAACAATAACAACTCTTGCAGTTTGACTTTGGACCCTTGCTCACCAGAATAATACAGGTAAAGATCAATGCCACTGTTTTAATAATTGAAATAGGTAGACTGAATGGAACACAAGAGTGGGAACATCCGTCTCTGTCACTAAAATTAGACTCTCTGGAGTTTTATGACAGGAGAAACTTTACAAAAAGGTAAAATTGTCCAGGATATGATGGAATTTTATTCCCTTATTATTGTTCAGAGTGTAGTAAGCGTGTTTGCCTGTCCCCATAATCCTTTCCACTAGTTCTTTCCAATAGGAAAAGTAATGCTAAGCCCTGTTTTCCTGGGGGGGGGGGGGGGGGGGGGTTTTAGTAAAAAAAAAAAAAAAAAAAAAAAAACGGAGTTGTTTTAAAAAAGAAAAAACAAAAAGGGCTTTGTAGTTAAAATGTCTGGAGAGTAGTTGTGTAGTAACATACTACCTCGATGCATAAAAACTATCAGGTGTATCTAAGTGCTGTGCTTTTTATAGTGGAACTTCAGCATTACAAAGCACAATAGTTAGATATGCTAGCTCCTATTTATCATTTTTTTTTTAGATAAAGAGATAAGCTTAGATTTTGAACACTGAATTCTTAGTTCAAACAGAAAAAAAAGAACAAAAAAAGCAACTTTGCCTTGTATTCCCATAACGCTGCTTATTATGACTATATGTCCGCTCTTTCTCCTCTTCATATCAGGCAAAATCTCCTTCAGGAGTCGAACCAGTCCAAAGAAGTTTGTATCCATCACAGTTTTCATCTCATCTATGGTCTGACATTCAATAGGTCCAATGAGCCCCATTCCTGCATTGCTAACTGCACAAAATGGTAGACAACAGTGAGCAACAACCTCAGTAAACATTAACTCATAATCTTTACCGGAAAGCACTTGAAAGTAAAATGACTATGGATTAAATGATCCTTAAATAATCCTTAAAGAAAGGATTAAAATATGTTATTCTGCCACTAAAGCTTTGCAAATACACTTGACTTCCATGTTTTTTTATTTTTATTTATGCCTTTAATACAATTTAAATTATCTGATATTTTGCATTTTAACAGATTCATTTCTGATTACTTCTTTTTCTTTAAATTATAAAAATATTACATGAAAATGAGCCAGGAATTATCTGGATTTGTTTATGATTCAGCATTAAGAATTTGTGCTATGGTCTGCTTTTTGTTTTGTTAACATTCACATCTTCAAGAGGAAAAGAGGGAAAAAAAACAAAGAAAAACCCCCAAACCACCACACTTCCATTAATTTTTATTCCTGGATATTTTTAAGTGGGGAATGATTGCTAGAACTGGCATTCTGGACTACAACTAGTATGCCAAGTTAGAGTATAATACAGTTTGCAGAAGCAGCCTGTTAAACAGTGCTTTAATAATTAATCAAAATAAAGGCAGGCCCATAATTTTCTGTTAGAGAAGATTTAATAGTTGATGGTGTAAGCAATTCCCATCTAAGATACTAACATTTATTTTTAGCAAACCATTATGGAAATACTTCTTGTTGAATGATGCGTAAATTACAGTTACAATTCTCAATACATAATGAAAGTACTTTTAATTTCTTCGCATTTGTTCTTTATTTGCCAATTCCCAAATAATGCTGCTTTCTTAGTAGAGAGAGCTGTTGCCTTCATTGTAAATAGGACTATGCTTCATTGATAGGGTAGAAATCTTGTGCATGAAGATGCCAATTTAGGCAAAAGGTCTCACATTTACTGAAAACTATAATTCTATCCAATACACTTCTCTGTGATCAAGTTTCTCCTCTGGAAACGGGGAAAACAAGCTTCCCTACTTCACATAAGCATGGTGAGATTTAATCCACTCGTGTCTGCATGAAGTCTTAAGAATCTTGAACAGAATACACTATATAATTATTATTTTGGTAATTTAAAAGAATACATTAATGAAACTTCTCTGGGGTATCTGAGATGATGCTAAATAGAAAACTGGTATCTGTTTATAGCATAGACATCCAGTACTTGCCTAGGACATCAATCCTTCTGTCAGGGATACTATTCACACAAGCTTTAATAGACTGTTCATCACAGACATCCAGTTGTTTAATTTCAAGGGTTTTGCCCAGCCTTTGACCTGCAGCTTCCTCAAGTGGCTCTTTCTTGGCCAGATTCCGCATTGTGGCATACACTGCAACACACCAGGAGCAACAGTTACCAGAAATAAAACCTCTTCTGTTCACTCTTACTGAGAAGTATTAAAGAATATCGATTTTACGTCCATATCTTAAGTGTAAGTGATGATTAAAACTTAAAGTAGAAAAAAACATATATTGTCACTGATACCCCAGAGTCTGGGAAATCTGGAAAGTCTGGGAAATTTTTGCTGGGAAGAAATTCAGAAGGAGAATTAAACCACTGTTTAATTCATACACGCAATGTATGAAGGTAATATTACCACCAAAATTTAAATAATGGGTAGCAAGTCACGCTGCTGAATCATTTTTAGGTACCTAAAACCTAATTTTAGATTCCAGATATCCTTTTTTTTTTTAATCACTGTCAACATGTTTAGAACAACCTTATTTTTATTAAAAAGTAGAAGACAGATGCTTTCTTAGGTTGCAAAAAATGTCTTCTCAAAATAGAATTTAGTTTTATCATTATTGTAGCCAAATTACACAGAAAACTATGAATCTGCATCCAGTCAGTTAGCAGTAGAATACTGTGAGAATAAGTGTGAAAAACTGAATTACCACAGATTGCTGTATTTGTCTTGCCATCCACTTCCAACCATTGCAAATATCCCATTTTATAGCAGAAAGACAAATCCCAGCCCCTTTGTTCACCCTTTAAAGCACGTTTCCTTAAATGTGCTTTAAGGAAAAAACTGCAAATTCAAGAACTGCTTTCCTACAGTAATTGCTCTGGTCCTCAAATGGGTATGTATGTTTCATTCAACAAAGATTTTAGTACACAGAAGGAAAGCTAACTACAGCTGTGAATGTATATCCGAGGTAGCAGCTACACGCATTTACAGCTATTGGTTTTATGCTGTTTTGTTTCATAAACTATTCAGTTCAAATAGCTGTTCAGCTGCAATACATATACAGAAATACCATTTCCTTAGAGAAAACAGTGTATTTTCACTGTTTTGTATTTTCTTGACAGCAGGAGGGGGGAAACTAACAAGAAACAAGTCACCAAACTGAATACAATCACCTATTAAAGAGAAAAACATCAGTACTGCCTTGAAGAATATGATTTTACAAATAACAGATACAGTTACCTTTAAATCTCTTCTGTTCATCTTTTGCCATTTTTACAGCTAACGCCAGTCCAATTCCTGAGGAGCAACCCGTAATAAGGACATTTCTTCTTGCCATTCTTTTCACTGGGTGGTCCCAACAAGAGCTCTTGTTCAGAGGAGCAACAACCTAAATGTAGCTACAGTACAATGCAACTGGCCTTTAATGCTGTCTCCAGCTTTCCTGAGTCAACAAATCTGAAAATGCACACCTGGACCCTGCGTGATTAAGGGATAATCTCCATCTAGACAAAAACAGAAGCAGATGCTCCTGCATGAGCTTATAATCGACATTATCATCATGGATTATATTTAATACAAAATTTGATTAATCTTTAAAATGAGACATTTGTAAACTACATGGGTTGGGGTTTTTTAAGTTGTGGAATAACTGGTTTGCATACTACTGTCAGGAAAAGCTTTGCCACAGTTCCAATCAGTCTGTAGTGTCACGTTCTCCACTCATGTCTATGGAAACTAAACTACACCCAAAATGGGATCCCTCTGCTAAAGGTGTTCAGACTTGATATACTTACAGCACCCTCGTCACTCTCTTGCAAAAGAATGACAAGTGGATTTCTTCCCTGATGCCTTGCTATTATAAAAGTCCTAAAAGGATTTACAGAAAAAGTAAATTGAAACATAGGATGTGGATTTTTGAAGAGACAAGTTATTTAGAGAGATTCCTCACATTTCTTTTTTGCGCTGTTACCAGCCAAGAGTAGGGAATGTTAGCAAGTGTGCAGGCAGTGGGAAACAGCCAGGAAGACCAGCTCCACTGTACCCTTGCTACTACAATGATCTCTTCGAACACTTTCTAGTGTCAGAACTAGCATGATGTCAGATTCAGTTTTAGTTTTGAACAAAATACTCCACCAACTTCGTGTATAAACTCTGAATTAAGCAGAGGGACATTTAGATGGGCAGTTTTGTGCAACTGGCATTTAGCATACAGCAATTGTAGGCATACTACATTCAGAAAGAAAATCAGTCTGGTGAAATTTATAACTCATCCTGGTGACAGAAAAAGAATGACTTTAATAAGCAATTAGCCTTCTGAACAGCATTCAGTTAATTGTAATGCCATTAGAGCAGAAAAATGTTTTCCAGGATTCAGTAACCCCATGTTAATGCAGTGCAGTTCAGAAGAATGAACTTAGTGTTCCAAGACTTGCTTTCACGTCAATTGGTAACTCAAGAAAAGTAAGACTCTAGAGAAAAATTTAACTGATATTATGATGTTAGAGAAAAAATATACAAGTGTCCCTCCTTTCCAAAACAAATTCACTTGAACAGTGTAAGAGGAATCATTAACTTCTTAGGCAAGCAACAAAACAGCAAGATGGCAAAGTTAAAGAGAGAATGTAATTGTAATTCTACTTATTTATCAGGTTTGACCCACAGTTTTACCAGAGGAGTTGGCATCCAGATACACAATTTCAGTGGAAATGCTGTTTAGCTGATTCAGTTATTAAGCAAATTGCTTTTGCTGCTCATGCACATTTATATTTAGTCCATGTAGGAGGAGCAAGCAATGCTTTATGCAACACTCCGTTAGTGGAATACCACTAGTGTTGTGATGCAACTGTAATTACAGATGAGTTGCATTTTCCACTTGCATTTTCCACCTGGTTTGAAGGGCTTGCATGTATCCTCTGGTTTAAAAAACTCTGCCTGAAATTTGATGCATAGATTTCTAGCCTGAAGGCAAATGGATGTGCCTAAAGAGAAGAAAACATTAAACTAGTTTAATATTTTTCAGCTATTACACTGATCAACCTAATTGTAATGTTTTTCATTTACTATTATGTAGAGAAACAAATAGCTTGATTTAAAACACAGTATTTTTTTGCTACCTCATAATTTTCATTACAGCAAAATAAATAATCTGAAACTGCAGAAATACTTTAGATGAGTGTATCTCGACCTTGTCAGAGGTAGCAAAATAGGTGCTTGGTTTTGTATAACCACTTGTATTTGTGGAACATATTTGCATAACAGGTAGGTAGTGAAACACCTACCTGCTACTCAAGGAGTTTAGCACACTTCCACCTGCAGAGCTGCTGAAATACAACAGATAGGTTTGTTGCCTGAGATACAGTTTTAATATACAAAACACTTAATTTAAGCCTTATCTTTAAATTGCCATATATTCAATTCTCTTCCTCTGTTTTATGTCAAATAACTTTACTAGCTTGATTTTCTGAACACACATAAATCATTTTTGCATTCATCAAACTCAGATTTAGGCCTCAACTGCATTTGCATTTTCTGATGCTTATGTGAATATGAAAGTGTTAAAAACTGAGGCCACTACTCCAGTTTCCACCAGCTAAATAGTGTAGCACTTTTGGAAAACTGGAAATAAATATGGTTTAGAATGCATAGTTACAACGCCGTTTTAATCACTGGTAACTTTTGGATGGATTATGGCTTGGGGAAAAAAGAAAAATAGTTCAAACTTTATGGCCCTGTCCCACACCCGTTTGCATATTAACTATAATGGAACATGCTGCTTGGAGTAAAGCAAGCAGGTTTTGCCAGTGTCTATTATTAAATCAGTGTCCCCGAACATCCTACAAACAGGTCAGTTTTAATAAGATATTGTGTCTGCAACATTTGTGGGGGGAGGAGAATTAATATTCCCAAACAAAAATTGTTGATAAGGTAATACCATTGTGCTCTTAACTAGAAGTTAGATGTGAAACACAAGTACACAGTCTAAAATCCTTGGGGAAAAACAAGAGCCAAAATTAATTCCTGCAACTCAAGATACTTAAAAACTAAAATTTATTTCTCAAAAATAAATTAAGATGTTGTTATATCAATGCAATAATCTCAGAAACAGTTGAAAGAGTAAAAAGGTTGTAGTTTGCTTCAGTACAAATAACCACATTCACTATTTGTAAATACAAGGTTAAAATTTCCTCTTTCATTGCTCAATTATGTTGGAGAATGCACAGTTATGTTGCCAGCAACAGCATTCCTGGGTTACTGCTTGTCCAATGAGCAACACTGCTTCCTTCACAAGTCTTGCCCCTGAAACAAAATACCTGTGATCAGAAGCTTCCTTTAAACTTCTGCACTCAACTGACCGTACCTAAATCCATTTGTACCAAGATGTTACTTTTCAATGTCAAGATTTATCTTACAAATTCAAGAAAACTAGCTGCAGTCTCAAATCCACGGCTCCTTCCTCAAATTCTGCCCCCCGGACTGAAGTAACCAATGCATTTTCTTCTTGTAATTGAATTTGCTTTTCAAAATGAGTAAAATGTACAAATGTTTGAACATATATTAAGTTCTAGTAGATAAGTAGGAAAAGAAGATGCAGAAGATTTTGAGGGGGAAAAAAATCTTCATCTACAAATGCCTGTAAAAATTTTGTGCCATTTAAAGGAGCACTGTCCCTTGAAATAACTCCTCTGCATAAGGCTTAAGGCTTGAACTGCATTATCATGTTTAAGTTCCTAACAATTTTGGTTTCTGAGATTTCAGGAAGTGTTTGCAAAACCCCTACCAACTGTATCAAGAGGAAAATAGCCTGTAATTTCTACCAATACAAAATGAGGAAAATCTTATCAACATCAATGTAAATATTCTGGATTTTCTAAACGATACAGAAATAAATATAGGCACACACAGTATGTTTGGGGTTGTTGTTGGGGTTTTTTTGGGTTCATTTCTAGAGGTTCAGCCCCTCCTTTGAAAAACAGGCTTATCTGCTGGACCTAAATATTTGACAGTTGATTTGTAGATAAAAACAAACAGGCATTTTAGGTGATCAGACAACCAGTCTCTATAGCACACCATATACAGCAGCTATGCTTATGCTAGCCAGTCCTGTAGCACAACAGAGGCCATACCGGCCACTAATATTGCATAACATCCCATTATAGCATGGCTCCTGTTAATTGTAAATACCAAAGTGATTATGTTATATCTATTCTTGTTCAGCTTAATACTTATTCTTCATAAGGAATGCTATAAATAGAGCACACAGACATCCATAAGTAGCACATAAGCAGCTTACAGCTAACAAAGGAAAGATTATTACAATAACTTTCAATTATACATATATATTTTTACAAAAACACTGTAGAAATTACTCTTTTTAGATACTGATCTTTGTAAACACCCGTTTTTTTCTAACTTTTTTATCATTTTTAACACAATTTAATTTCACATTTCAGTAAGAAACTGGGGCCACATGATATTAATTTGCTTAAGCCAATCTCTTTCATAAGAAATTACTTCTATTTCACAGAAAAAACAACGTGCAGTAAGATATTTCCTCTTCCTTTATTTGGAATACTTAAAACTAAGGGTAGCAGAGTGCTGTACTGTTACAAGATCTTCACTGCAGATTAAAGCAGAAGAACAAAGAACAATTCAACTAAAGTATCTGTGACTTAATTATTTCATGAGTCCAATAAGGGCAGAATGGACCAGGACAGAACTCAACCCTATCAAACAATTCCTTCCCTGAACTAATATATTTCCTATAATAAGCAAGGAAGGTAGTGTATTAATGGAAAAAAGAATGAGACAGACTGTACCCCCGGGCAAAGCACATAGACACACAGCTCTACACACACCCCTTTTCCACAGATAGATTAGGCAATTGAGTTGTTAGAACTAGGACAAAAGGTTTCTGTGGAAGACTGGTCAGTCAGTCTGCAATGTGCTACCAAGGGAGAAAGTCTTTTCTTACATCGTTTTAATATACTCAATCTTTAAACAAAGAAGCAACCATATCGTATTCTAAATGGAGTCAGAACCCCTCTGCTATGTATTTCATACTCTATACAGAATGCTTCCAAAATCTGATCTTTTATCTACTTTACTATAATGAAAATAAACTTGAAATTTCCTTTTCTTCATCCCAAGTCTCTAAAAGGAACGTGACTGGAGTAGGTCTATTTTCAATGCCTTTCTTATATCATTCTTGGGCCTCCCCTACGTGGCGTTCCTTAGCAAAAATAATAAGAAGTCAATTTGTCTGGAAAGGAACGATCTAGTCAGCAGTTGTACAGGGGCTAGCTAAGAAATAGTTTCCTTCAGAATCCTCCCCAAAGTCTTAGGAAATGTTGGTAATGATGAATGTGAAGAATAGCAGCAGGCACTGTCATGTTCTCAGGACATAATAACCTTTAACAGAAGTAAAGATGGAAGAGCTCACATTGCTGTAATTTGCGGTGAAAGAAATTCATATTCATCTGTGACAGTCAACTGCCATAGAATATGGATCAAGTGCCTTTGGTGACTACACAGAAAGAAGACTTCTCTGATATCTTATACTAGGGAAAGAAGATAACACCCAAATGCAGCATAACCAAAATAGCAGGAGCCAGTTCAGTTTTGGTGTCTACCTCTAGCTGGCAAGTATCTTTGAACTTACTTCTGCAGAAAGCCTGTTTATCTCATATTGCTATTTGTACTTGTAGCGACCAATTCATGCCCCAAAACAGATTTATATCATTCATAAACTAAAACTTTCTTTATTCTAGCTGCGTGTTCCCCTTCGCTATGCCAGAAAATTCTCTCTTCTCGTTCCTATATGCATGCTAGATCTCAGTGCTCACTTGTTGCAGTTATTTTCACAAGACAGATACCCAAGTCATAAGAACCTCTCATCATAGAATCATAGAATAGTTAGGTTTGGAAAGGACCTTAAGATCATCTAGTTCCAACCCCCTGCATGGGCAGGGATGCCTCACACTAAACCATGTACAGCATATTGTTTCATTTCATTTCAAGGAAGACCATGTCCATAGCCAGAACATTGGATTACTAAACATAATCAATATTCAAATTTCCTTACAAAGCAGGCAATTAAGAGTATGCCATTAAATTTGTTATTTTAAAATCATTAAACTAGTTTAACTGTAGGGGGTTAAGATTCAGGAAACACCAGGATATAAAACACAATTACGTGGGGAGAAGTAATGACACTTCTAAAAAGACACCATATAATTTCTTCTAGGCAGTTACAGCAATGGCATTAAATATTAATAATCTGTTGTGTATCCAGGGAACATTTTACCTTTTCAAGAGCTTCTGCTTGTTTCCTTTCAATTTTTTTCTTCAGCTGATTTATTTCTTGATCTCTCTGGAGTAATTCAAACTCCTTTTCACGAAGCTTGTCTTTGGAATGCTGGAGTTTCTTCTCTAAGCTCTCAATCTGAACAGAAAATGCAATTAAATCAGAACAGATATTTTATTGAATTCAGAACAATAAAAACCCTCCAAACAAACAAAACTCACCAATGCCATGAACATCACCTCTGAATTTGGAATCTCTCATCAAGTTTTTATTTTATATTTATTTTGTCAGTATTTTCCTTTATTAGAAAAGCAGTTTGGGAGCTGTAGCATATCAAGTGAAAGAAATAATTTCATTTTTATACTTGTATATCCCTGCAAAATTTTGAGTTTTAATGATTTTAATTGAAAAAAGTAAAATATTTTTGGTTGTACATTACTAAGGTACTCTCTTCCCTGTCCCTGCAATAAGGAACCAGTTTTACTCTTCTAGATTGAACCTGGACAGCTATTGTGTCCCAGGACTAGACTTACTCATAGAATTAACTGCCCTTTGTTAGGGAAACTGGGTTTTTAATCTAAGCAAGGATTACCTGTTTATTGCATTCCTTAATTTCTAGCTCTGACTTCTCTAAATTGCACTCTAATTGAATTATTTGTTGTTCCATTTCTCCCCTATGTTCACGAACTGTCATATCCAACTGTGTAATCTAGAGGTAAAAGAAGGAAGAAAAGTAAATATTTTATTTTGAACTAGTATGCGGATTTCAAGTAGTATTACAAAACATGAAAGCAAAAGGAATGAAACTAATCCTTGGTAGTCTCAAGAATATTTTCTCAATTAGTCAACGTACAAATGCAGCCTAGCTGTCCCATTTGAAAAACACAAACACAAAGAGAGGAGAAAATTGGGTAAATCCATAACTGAATATGTTTGGTCCTCAGATATACAGAGTACAAACCTAGTTCTCATTTTAAAAGAAATGTAATAAGCAGCTTATTATACTAAACCATCTTGTAAGAAGGTGCCAAATTTTGCCAAAGCAAAAAAAATTCCTATTGCTCTGATAAATTGCTTTTTTAAATCCCCACCCTTCCTTCTCTCTGAATCTCAAATATTCCTGGATACAAAGTCTGGTAACTCCTGTAGGAAGTAGCTATTAGAAGGCTAATTAAAAGGTTTTCTATGATGGGTATCAAATCCTGAAGTCAGACCAAAAGACTGAAATTATTTCAAGTAAGCTACAAAAACTCATTCACAATAAAGATACTGGTTTACATTTAGAAGCTGCTTTAGAGCTATCAAATATGCCACAGAGCAAAAGAAATCTATCATCTCCAAGCACACTTCAGTGCAGATCTTCCCTTCATTTTATCAAACATCAAGATGACAATAATTGTCCTGTAGCTTTATTGCTCAAGAAGTATTATGGGACAGGTTTGCATAAGGCTTCTATTCTATCAAAACAGTAGTCTGTTGTCCCTTAGGGGAAACCTGGTACTGGTTTCAGTAACATACAGCTGGTTTTGAGGTTGACGCTATGGTTATATTAACCGTACAGGCTGGAGTGATACATGAAGGCAACTAAATCTAGCATGCTATTTGTAAGTTACCTACTACACAACAGGAATAATTGTCGGTAACATACTTAAAATGATCTGACCTGAGCTGCTCTTTGTTTCAGTTCCCAATTCCTTTCTTTCAGTGCTTGGTCCATGTCAAGGAGTTCTTGCTTTTTGTCTTCAATTTCTCCCTTGCAATACCTGAAATTCTCATGTTTAATTCACATTCAGTTGCTTAGCTTCTAGCATTCAGCTTGAAAATCATGAGATCTATTACTTACTTAAAGCCAAATTACCCTAAAAGATCAATTAACTAAGTGATTGCAAAGAAACAAACCCAAATTAAGTAATTCTGTTAACTATATTCCAGGTGGAGATTTCTCTAGAACTTCATTATTCAAGTTATTTAATTGGTTATTAGGACATGTTCTTAAAAAAAAAAAACCACCAGTACAGAAGAAAGTACATTGACTTGTGGCCAGAAAGGAAACTGGACAGTTTCGCTGTAAAAGAAGGTAATTCCTCTTACAATTATGTCATAGCTTTGGGATTCAGAAAATAGTTTTAGGTTTTTTTAAATCAGAATTAGAAAAAAAAAGAATTCAGCACCACATTTGGAAATCAAAAGTGAGCTGATGAGCTACTGTGTCAAGTTATCTTACAGCCACAAACCCCTAAAAACTACAGAGAGCTGCTAAGAATATAAAAGAAGATCATCCAAACTACGTGGCTATTCCTAAGGAAAAACTAACACAGCCAAGCTCTTACGATGGAAAAGATTCCAGCTTACCTGAGCTCCGTTGTTAGATTCACGACAGCAACATGCTTCTCCTCCAGAGAGGACTGTGCATTCTGTAATGCATCTTGCAATTCCCTAAGCTGTGTTAAAGTGATTTTTAATTCTCCATGGGCATTCTGTAATGCTGACTCTAGTTCTGCTATTTTCTGTAAGGCTTCCCTGTGGCAAGTCTCACTTTGAAACAGCTTATCTTCTAATTCATTCACTGTTTTACACACACACAAAACACAAAATGTTTAATCATCAGTAAGTCAGGGTCTTTATGCAACACTGCTGCCTACTAGCACTTGTGGTCATAATCAATTTTCAGTACCACTATTTTTAGGAAAATCTAGAAAAACAGTGACTTCTGAGGTTATACAACAATCTTTTCATGGTACCTAAGTGTTTTTTTTATTCATCTCAATCTATAATTGACTTGAAATATGAGAATGTATCTAGAAACATTTGGCCAAGAAGAAAATACAGAGATACAGAAATGGAATATGTGGTGCAGTGAAAAATGCAAGCAGAATTGCTAGTATGCCTCCTGTTTTAAAAGAATGGTGAAGTTAAATTAAATGGAGGAGGAGGGATTTGAAAGTTAGTTATTTCCACAGAATGACAGAATGGTTTGGGTTGGAAGGGCCTTAAAGCTCATCCAGTTTCAACCCCTGCCATGGGCAGGGACACCTTCCTCTAGGACAGGTTGCTCCAAGCCCCTATGTCCAACCTGCCCTTGAACACTGCCAGGGATGGGGCAGCCACAGCTTCTCTGGGCACCCTGTGCCAGCGCCTCAGAACCCTCGCAGGGAAGAACATCTGCCTAATGCCTAATCTCAATCTCCCTTCTGTCAAGTTAAAGCCATTCCCCCTTGTCCTACCAGCACATGGCCTTGTGAAAAGTCTAGACTCCCTTTTGGGGTTTTGTTTATTTAAAGAATTGAATTTTTGTGTGAATAACACATGCCATTACTAAATCTATATGTCTTGTTTGACTATCACATCAAGAATCTGCATTCCATTTTACAAGGAAAAACTTCACCTGGCGTAAAGGTACATCCCACAGAAGTGAATATTTGTGAAGGATTTGGGGGGTGGCGTTTGTTTGGTTTTAAATATGGAATTACCTACAGATTAAAAAAAAACACCCCAGCTTATCATGTTTTGACTCTCGTGTACTTGATTATAAAACAGGGCAAAGGAAAAATGTCTAATCTAATACATACAGAAGTAATAGCATGATGAAAGGAAGCCTTAGAAACATTATAGTGAAATTACCCTCATTTGCCTTTTCGTTGAGTTCTGATCGTGTTTCCTCCAAAGTAATATCCAACTGATTTATCTGCATTTGTTTGTTTTCACCATCTTGTTTTAATTGCACAACTTCTTTTTCCATACCAGTAAGTTCATTCTTGCACTGCTCCATCTCCATTTTAATTTGTCTAAGTAAAAGAAGCAACCAGAACAAAATGAACCTTGTAATAACAAATGCAACATACATCTGTCCTTATATGCTCTAAGGAGATGAGCATTTGTGAGTAAAATAAAGTCATGTTAAGCAGGCTTTTCATGCAATCAAACCCATACTCTTTATCATGCTCTCCTAGAGTCTACTATCTAGAATTACAAGCAACTTGACATGTGTATGATTTGAACTGCATTATGAAATTCCACCTTAAGGCTAAACAGGTTGATGGAACACACATTAATTCCACTGGAAGACTGTTCCAGAAACTCATGCCTCTGCTAGTTAAAAACTTCCTTTTGATTTCCAGTGTGTGCTCATACAGAGGCTGAAGTGTACAACTACATAGCTGAATACCATTTTAGACAGCAGTCTCTCTTACTGACAATCTATCTGCAGAATGACCTCTCACTTACTCTAAACCTACCTGATTGTGCTATTAAGTTCATCCACCTTCTGTCTGTTTAAATCTGCTTCCTGAGCAGCTAGGCGATGCTTCTCCTCTGCCTTTCTCAACTCATCTTCTGCAGAGAATTTCTGCTTCTGAAGCTCTTGTTCTAAATTGGATACCTGTTTTAAAATGGTATTTTACAAGTGTTAGTACTTTGACATTACATACAAAATAAACATACATCCTTGCTCTCGCAACTATCATAATGACAGTTTTAACACAACTCATTTCTTTATAGTCTAAAATTGTTTATAATTAAGACTAGAACTTTGCAGTCACATTTGAAAGACAAATAGTTTCTTGTAAATACAACAAGATCCAACTTTCTGAATTTCAGTACATCTCTCCTTAATTGCACTCTAGGGTTTGAGTCTCCAAGTGTTTAGCCACAATAATGCTAGAGTTTCTGATAGCGTAGAACCTAGTTTAAGATAAAATAAGCCACTAAACTCTTTAGATATATCTAAAATAATAACTATCAACTCAGTTATCAAAGAAACTTCTGATTTTAAAGGTATTACAAAACCATATATAAAAGCATTTAATTATTTGTCTTTATAGGTAGACACTTCTCAACGTACTGTACCTGTTTTTCAAGTTTAATTTGATTATCTTCCAGCTCCCCATTTCTAATAGTTTCTTGCTGTAACATTTGCTGCTGATGATGCAAAGTTTGTTGTAGGAGAATATTTTGTTCACTTGTGTCCTGAATATTCACATCTTTTATTTTTATTTCTTTCTGTAAATAAAGAACCTGAAAACACATTTATTTTCCATTATAGTGACACATTTTTATTTACACTTGCATCAGCTATTCTCTTCATTCTTAGTGAGCACAGAATCACACCTATGATTCAGTAAAACTTCTGGCTTTGAATTTATTGCATTACAGTTTCAACAGTACATAATACATTTCATAATTCATCACTGAGTTGTACTTTATAACACAAGTAAAGACGTAACATAACAGCCCCAGATTTTGACTTCTTGCTTCTAAATTTACCTAAACTGGTCAGTATTTTAAAAACATCTATAAGAAAGATTTTTCATTTCTAAATTACTGAATTGCTTTTCTTTCTGTCACTCTTCTTTATTTCTCAGGAAGTCCTTGTTTCCCCCTTGAGATTTTGTTCCAATCCTCCCCTTTATTTCTACCTGCCTCTACGACAACAGTCTTTGCAATAAAAAACAGGAATTCTGAGTGCCTAACTTGTCATGTGTCAAATGGTCTGATTTCTCAGTGATGAATTACTAAGCCCCACTTGCTACCCTTGAGTTTCACACAGCATCCAGTCTCTTCACATGCAGCACAAGAACAATAGATTTTAGGGCTTAGAAAGCAGCAGTAAATATCACAGGTTTATGCATAACAGAGACCATAGATTTCCATCTAGTTACTCCTGTAGAAGGTCTAGTAATCTCCAGGTGACTCTAGCTCTCTCTCAGCAAGTAGGGCAGCACTGACATGAGCAGCCTGCTATAATAACTAGTTATGTGGTTAGGCATCCTCACAAAAATTCATACTAATAATATTTAAACTTAATTCTTTATTGTTTTCATGTAGTGGTTTAAAGTAGAATAAAACTCAGGGAGTTGAAGTAAAATTTTCTTATGTCCATGACCTCTCCCACCCATTATGATACTTGAAACACAAATCAGTTATGTGCACCTAAGTTTCTATTGCAATAGTGCTCTCTCCATTTTACCCCATGATTATGCTTTCTTTCACTTAATTCTGATTCTGTTACTTCCTTCAACAGTTCCATTTATCCTGGTACTTCTTTTCCCCAAGCTTATCCATTGTTTCTTAGTTACAATTTTCCCCTTTACCCTCACAAAATGTAGCCTTTTCCCTGCTTACATCCTAGTCACAGTTCCCGTTGCAAATGTTTTGTCTATTTCACAGATAAACTTTTAGATTAAACCATTGGTAACAAGTGTTCTCTGCAATGCAGGACAGTTGTTAAAACAAGCTGTTACCTCTTCAGTCTTTTTCTTGAGTTGATTTTCAAATAATTCCTTATTTTCTTGTGACTGATGCAGATACAGTGCAACTTCTTCCTTGCATACGTCTAGTGCTGACTCAAGTTGTCTCACCTAGGTGAATGTAACACATTACTTAAAATTCAATAGCATCATTTTTATTAACTAAAAAAAACCCAAACAACTAATCAGAACTAATAAAAAGTGTTTAAACCATCTTTGTGCAAAACAACCGAAAAGCTCATTTTTATCCAAAGTATTAAAACAGGATTCCAGTACTTCTCAGTAGCTAGAATTTAAAAGCAAACATATGCCCAATACCAAATCATTAATCCACCACGTTATTAAATACAGAATTGTATAAATTCTGAATAAACACCATGTGAGTTGTGGCAAATCTTTCTCAAAAGTAATACTCAGATCATAATACAATTCCTCTCAGAAACCCACTAAACAGTATTCTTTTTTCCTTTCTGCACCGAGAGACAGTGCCCGAGTTCTACTAAAAGCAAAAAGAAATGCTTTTAGCGATGTCAACACAATCTATTTTACCCTTTATGATATTACTCTGGATTTGAGTAATGTCTAACAAGTATCTTACAACCTTGAATAGATAAAAATGATAATGAACAAACCCCAGAGGTCTCAATCTATAGTAACTGAACTTTTAACTGTTCCGTTTCAGTGCTAAGACGACTTGTCTTACAAATGAGAATTGTCTTGAATTTAGCTGCAGATGGGCTAATGCTTAAACGCTACCAGTTTTCTAAACCATATTGGACTGTATACCCCTCTCCTCACCCAAATCAAGAGCTTTCTGAAGAGAAGTTATAGTGGGTCTTAATTTTAAATCTCTGGAAAACATCCCAAATACTACAAAGGCAGTTGAATAGAAAACTGGCCCAACACAAGTTCAGAAAGAGCATGCTACCAGCTAAGTGCCCAGTATCTTCTCCTGGTGATATCCTGAAGATTTAATTCAGTTTGAAACCTGACTGTGGTAAATCACCACATGGCAGTAATTTATTAAAGCACTGTTTGCAAGTGCTGCATTGAAAATATTAATCAGGCAAACACTAGGCACAGATGGATAAAAACATGACCAATAATATCACATATGTCCAAAATGTATGTTGTATCTAGAGCAAAAATCTACATAATATTCTTTGTTAGATGTTTTACTTTAAGAGTACAAGAAGCACAAATCTGACCTATTAGTAACTACAGTAATTTAATAAAGCAATTATGCATTGCATCATCTCTTACTGCAGGTTTCATCATACTATTTTCAATTAAAAATAAAACAAAAGGTAAGACTTCAAGTTAGTAACTTCTGAAATATTTACATGAGGCAAATTTCTATAAAGCAACCTTACTATAGTTTTTCTATAAAGGATAAAAGGAAATACACCATTACTGCAAACTTTAAAACTATTCATTCAAAATTACAGAGAGCTTACTAACTCTGACTGTTTCTTCTGTTAACTGACTTTTCAGCATCTTCAATCCTTGATCTTTCTTGACATTCTGATTCTCCATTTCCTGTGTGTACACATGTTTTTATTCAAGAGAACAACATGTAAAGATAGTAACAATAATCTAACTAATAAAAAGTCACACTAAGAATCAGGAAAAAAAAAAAAAGATCAGTGTATTTAAAACACAATTGCTGGCATACTCTATTTGTGTACATCATACTCTGAAGTGAATCTGGTTCCCGATAGGTGTCCCTTCATATTCTGCAGCAGCAGGA